TCTCGCGCTCTCGGTTACCACCTACGGCCTCGTGAAAATTTTGGCGGATAAACTTTTAACTCGGGAGTCACGGAAATATATTCATCCTTCAAGGTTTCGAATTCAGCTTTTATGCACTGGTGTGTGAAATTTTTAATTGTTTCCCAATGTTTGAACTGTTTTTGCATAGACTAAAGAACAAAGCAGGGAAAATCATTAACAGGCAATTGCTTGATCGGCTGAATTGCACAAAACGCATGATCGCACCGGCTAGTCTGGTGCGCGTTGCCATTTATTGAATTTGGTACCGCCTCTTGTAGGGATGAGGCAATTCATGTGCAGCGCAGCTGCGCTGATTCATTGTTTCTCAAAAATAAGCGACGTTTACCGTTCCACAGCTACAATACACATGTTTACCGTTTTACAGCTATTTGAGTCCACTTTTTTCTTATTTCTTCTTTTTTTTGGAAGAGACTGTTCTCTTCACCTCTTCAATACCACTGTGCTGAAAATAGTGACACGCAGATGAGAAACGTAGTAGTAACGAAGATAGCGTTGGAACGAAGGGTGCTTGTCGTATCTCTCCGAACATATAATCAATAAACTCTCCATCTAATGAGTGCCGTGTAGGATATTATTGCAGCCACGCGAGAAAGTAAAATCCGATGGGTAGGACGTGTCGCTCGCCTTGCTGAGCGGTCAGTGTACATTAGCGAGTGATATCCAAGTGAAAGCAAGCGAATATTCAGGCGAACGGGAAGTTGTTGCACCTGCATTGAACAGGCAGTGAGTACTAACTGGAAGCATGCAGCTTAGAGTCGAAGGGCCTGGAACAGCTGCGCTTGGCGTGTATTTCAGTAAATCATTAATGAGGGACACACACTGACAGCCTGAACAGTGTTGATAATTTCGGTAGTAGAAATTCTCAAATCTGTAAATGAACCTATCAAAGCTTTTTTTTCTAATCAAACAGAGGCGCAGCTAAAAGATAATTTAGAACAATCACAAATGTTTGAAGATACAACATTCATAAATATTACAAGCTGCAAAAGAGATCGGAACAAAGCATACAACAACGTTTAATAATTCATCTAAAAACGGCCGCAGATAACAATTCGATTTCTTCTACAGATGATGGCACTGGCTTGACCAACATTTACTTTTCATAACGGACAAAGGTAAACACGAAGTACGGTGCCAAGACCCAAGATAACCCTGGTAATCACAGAAGAAAATGCGTCATATAAGAGCTCTACAAAAGCAAGTAAATGGATGCGCATGAGGAGTTAAAATAGGTGCATATCGCTAAATATTATTATCAAGAGCGATCCTGGAGAAGTTCGCCATATACCAAGAACATCTTGAGCCGGCTTGAAGTACGTCGAAGGGATCTGTTGTGGAAATCCTTTAGGAGCATGAAATGGGTGTTAGAATTGCAGCACACTGACCAACAAACGATAAAGCATTAGTCAAAGCAACAAAAATTAGTTGAATAACAGCCAAATTACATGCTAATTCCAGGGATTACAAAAACAAATACCGTCATTGACTCAAACAAAGCTGCAAGCCGTTTCAATCAATCCTGATAAAATTTTTACGTTTTTATCTAAAACAAAAGGTTTTGATGTGGCAGCTGTGATAAATGCCCAGATGCAGCTGTCTGAGAGGACCAAATTTGGAAGGTCATAATTCACAAAAAAGAATCATGCGTGATTTCCAGGAACCATAATCAGATTATTTCAGTACGAGAAGTGCCACTTTGCTTTCATCGGTTATTCCACGCTCTTTGGTGACTTTCTGTCGCAAATAGCCGTACAACAAATCTGTCAGTAGGAAAATCTGCAAGAAAATTTTTTCAAACAAGTTAAGCAAAATATTTCTTGCTCTGAAAAGATTATTCTTTTTGGACCACTATTAACATTGCTTTATCGTGATGTTTGATTTTATCTGAGTGTTAGTTTGCATTGTTGGAATTACCTTAAAGAACTGTAAATACAGCCCAGATGTCTAACTTCTGCGCAGTTAGCAACTTTTCCAATTGCTCTGATTAGTACTGCTTTCCCGGGCTGCGGTCAAGTACAAAAAATCAGCTCAAAAAGAAAGACTACTTCCCTTGCAATTATAGCTAAATGCAATAACTGTTGAAGAAAATCA